ATGCATGAAGCCCTGAGTTAGATTCCTCAGTACCACATAAACAGAAAAAGCTGGAAGAGGTGCTGTGGCTCAAGTAGTAGAGTGCTAGCCTTGAGTAAAGAAGCTTAGGGACAGTGCCCAGATCCTGAGTTCAAGCCCCAGGATTGGCAAAAAAAAAAAAAAAAAAAAGTCTCATGGATAGACTTTCCTGTTTGGGCTGGCTTCAAACTGCAATCCTCAGTTGTCAGCCTCCTGAGTACCTAGAATTATGGGTGTAAACTTCCAGTGCCCGACTATGACTATAAATCTTACCAGGCAATTGACACAGGGCCTTTGCTCTTACAGTTCTTTCTGTCTGTAACTGGTTCACTCATGTCTGACTCATTATTTAAGTCATTTCCCTGAATAGAAACTCTTCCTGACCTCAGTTGGGGTTAGATCCAATCTCACTCCATACCCTATTGCATTGCCTTTGAAGCATGCACCATTTTATTGTCTGTATTGCCTGCTTCCTCCTTTTAGAAAATCAGTTACAGGAGCATAGAATCCTTATCTGTTTTTCTCATTCCTTATGCCTAGAGTTAAATATAGTGTTGGTACATTATGGAAACTCAGAAAATGTTTGTTGAACAGTAGGCAAAAGTATTAGTTATTTGCAATTCTTTCTTCCTTCCTTTTCTTCTTCCTTTCTTTCTTTCCCCCTGCCCGTCTCTCTTTTTCACCAAATCGCCATTGGTAATAAAATCCAGACATATCTCAACCCTTTTGGAACTTATAGTACAATGGGAAAACTGACATTGACTCAATGTGCACACAAAGTAAATAGTTTCAGACTAACAGAAGGACTTTGAAAGAAAAATCCAGATAGCCTGAGAGCATTCATGGATGATCTGACTCAGTCTGGGGTGGGGTAGTTGGGCCAAGCTTTCTAGAAGTGATACTTAAGCAGAGAGCTGAAGGGTGACTCAGTTATCTGGGAAAGGTGGGGAGGATGGCAGAGTATTCAGGCATAGAGAACAGAGTGGAAAGTGCTTTGCAGGGACAGTATGTATGCAGCACGTTTCCAAAATAGAGAAGGACAATGTGATGGAGACAAGGTCTCATGTGTTTATCTCAGGAGCACAAGAGCCACTGAGGGCTGAGGCCGTAGCTTAGCAGTAGAATACTCATGTGAGGCTCTAGTTCCATCCCTAGTACTGAAAAAACCAAAACAAAACCCAGAAGTGCCACTTAATGATTTTCAAAAGAAATAACAAGGTCTCCATTTATATAAAAAGATCAGTGTTTAGAAACAGATTTTAGGACAAGGGTAGAAGCAGGTAGATTAGTTTTAGGGGCAGTTTCTTTTCTTTTTTGCCAGTTCTGGGGCTTGAACGCAGGGCCTGGGCACTGTCCCTGAGCTTCTTTTGCTCAAGGCTTGCACTCTATCACTGGAGCCACAGTGCCACTTCTGGCTTTTTCTGTGTATGTGGTACTGAGGAATCGAACCTGGGGCTCCGTGCATGTGAGGCAAGCACTCTAACACTAAGCCAACTTCCCAGGCTTGGCGACAGTTTCAGAGAGTTTGTAGAGAGGTAAACCCAGGGCCTTGAGTCTGTTAGGCATGCAGGTATAGAGTTATAGCCCCAGCACTTTTGTTTATATTTTGTTTTTGAGTTGGGATATAAACATAACTTTGTCTGGCTTGGCCTTGAACTCTCAATCTTCCTGCCTCTGTCTGCAGAGTATCTAGGATCAAAGGTGTTTACCACCACTCTAGGCTGGATAGACTTAAATAATGAGAAATGTGGACACAGAGCTGCAAAGTATCTTCCCTTACCCCAGGTCTTGTTATGGTTGAACTCAAACTTTATTTATTTATGCACTTTCCCCACCCGCCTCCTCTCCTGCTACATCTTCACCTGAGTTGCCTATTTGTTTATACTTTCCTATCTCCCTAAAGCTTGAATCCCCTTAGATCTTATTTTTTCTCTCCAGGCTTGCACCTTACTACTTGAGTCATATTCCACTTCCAGCTTTTTTTTCCTGGTTGATCGTGGGGCTTGAACTCTGGGCATGGGCGCTGTCCCTCAGCTCTTCAGCTCAAGGCTAGCACTCTACCACTTGTACCACAGTGCCACATCAGCTTTTTCTGCTTACGTGGTGCTGAGGAATTGAACCTAGGACTTCATGCATGCAAGACAAGCACTCTACCACTGAGCCATCTTCCCAGCCCATGAACTCAAACTCTTGATCCTCCAGACTCAGCCTGGGATTACGGGTGTGGTCCACCACACTCAACCTGGAAGGTACCTTTAATCTCTCTACTAGTGGTTTACACCTGTAATCTTAGCTACTCAGGACACTGAGATCCAGTGGATTGTGGGTTTAAGCCAGTCTGGGCAGAAAAGTCTGAGACTCCATCTCCAAGTAAAGATGGCATGGCTCCAGTGGTACAGAATCAGCTATGAGCAAGCAAGCTAAGAATGGAGATCCTGCTGGTACTGGCAAAACAAAACAAAAGTCTTCCATTAGTCTAAAGTACAACAATATATATGAATAACAAAGTTCACAAAGATATAATGTTTTATGTAAAACAGCTTAAACCAGTTGGACACCAGGGCCCAGTAGTATATTTGATTAAGAGTTACCAAAACAAGGCAGCGGTGGCTCATGCCTGTAATCCTAGCTACTCAGGAGGCTGAGATCTGAGGATCACAGTTCAGAGCCAGCCCAGGCAGGAAAGTCCATGAGACTCTTATCTCCAATAAACCACTAGAAGTGGCACTGGAAGTAGCACTGTGGCTCAAGTGGTAGAGCACTCACCTTGAGCTGAAGAGTGCAGGGACAGCGCCTAAGCCCAGAGTTCAAGCCCCACAACCGACTAACAAAAGAAAAAAAAAAAAGGGCCCAGTAGTATATTTGTTTTTGTTTTTTTTTTTTTTGTCGGTCGTGGGGCTTGAACTCTGGGCCTGGGCGCTGTCCCTCAGCTCTTCAGCTCAAGGCAAGCGCTCTACCACTTGAGCTACAGCGCCACTTCCGGTTTTCTGGTGGTTTATTGGAGATAGGAGTCTCACGGTCTTTCTTGCCCGGGCTGGCTTTGAACCGCGATCCTCAGATCTCAGCCTCCTGAGTAGCTAGGATTACAGGCGTGAGCCACCAGCGCCCGGCCAGTAGTATATTTGATTAAGAGTTACCAAAACAAGCTAGGTGCCAGTGGCTCACACCTGTAATCCTAGCTACTAAGGAGGCTGAGATCTGAAGATCGCAGTTCAAAGCCAAGCAAGGGAAGCAAAATCCGTGAGACTCTTATCTCCAATAAAACCACCAGGAAACCAGAAGTGGAGCTGCGGCTCAAGTGGTAAAACGCTAGCCTTCAGCTGAAGAGCTGAGGGACAGCACCCAAGCGCAGAGTTCATGCCCTAAGACCTACAAAAAAAAAAAAGAGTTACCAAAACAAAAAAGTTGAAAAGGAAGAACACAAATGGGATATGTGAAGCAACTGGGGTAAAAAATAGATGAAAACCAGACCCTGGTGGCTCACATTTGTAAATCTACCTACTCAAGAAGCTGAGATCTGAGAACAGCAGTTCAAAGCTAGCCTTGACAGGAAAGTCTGTATGTCTTCAACACCCCCACCCCCTCTCCTACCAAGCCAGTAGTGGAGCTTTTTAGCTCACTCGGTAGAGTTCTAGACTAGAGAGGAAAAAGGTAAGATCCCAAGGTTCTGATTTCAAGTCCCTTACTAGAATACAATAATAATAATAATGATGATAATAGCACCGATGACTCACATCTATAATCCTAGCTTCTCAGGAGGTTGAGATCTGAAGATCACGGTTCAAAGCCAGCCCAGGCAGGAAGGTCTGTGAGACTCTTATCTCCAATAAACCACCAGAACACCGGAAGTGGCGCTGTGGCTGTAGAGGTCTTGCCTTGAGCTGAAGAGCTGAGGGAGAGTGCTCAGACCCAGAATTCAAGCTCCACGACCGACAAAAAATAAAAAAAGGAGAGAATTGTTGCCAAGCTGGAAAAAGGGTACCAGGGCAGAGTACATGGGGGAGTGAAATAGGATGCTACAAAGTAGAAAAGGCAGGAAGGGGGAAATGATCAAAAAGGGGAATGAGAAAGTTGGAAAAAATGTTGAGAGGAGGTCCGGGGCACAGGAGAGACTAAGAAGAACAGATAAAGATGTGTGGTAAAGATGTGTGCTCAAGGATGGTAGGGAAGTGAGTGGGGGTGGGAGGCGAAAATGGAGAAAACTCCTAGGAAGGCGAATGTTGGGTGTGTCAGAGATTCTGACCTCCACCTTACCCGCCATACGCTGCTGGCTGTCCTTAGTGGTTTCTTCCATATGCTAGGAGAAGCCTTGCTGCTGAAGAGGATGGCGACCGCTCATACATTAAACTCTGCTAGGTTAGGAATGGGGGACCAGGACTAGAGTTGTTGGGAGCCATGCTCAGAAGCCAGCTGTCTGTTAGAGGGCCTACCAGGAGGGCAACAGTAGAAAAAGGGAGGGGTGCTGAGAGTTGTCTTTGGGAGCAGAAACTTCAAGAAAGGTGCAGCGAGGGTTGATTCTCTCGTATGCGGCAGGGGTCTCTGAAGGTGGGAAAGGACAGCTTTGGAAACAGAAGAAAAGGAAGAAAGACTGCTTGAGGCAGAAACAGGAGGGGAAAGGGTGGCACCCAGTCTTTCCAGGAACATCCCCCAGCTCGGGCTCCGCGGCGTCTCAGGCACACCGACTGCAAAGGGTGCCAGAGGGCTGTCCAGCTTGGATGGATTTCCGAGAAGCCACAGCCTCTGCTTCACCTGCCGTGGAAGCCGAGCAAGTGAAGGGGCGTGACCCTGGGGCTCAGGTTTCTTCCTCATCACCTGCGCTCGGAGGGGGGTAGGGGCCAGGACTTCCGGTTCAGGTGAGTGTCCCTTCAGTGACGTCAGGTCACCCTCGGCTGCCCCTCCGGCCCCGCCTCCCCCTCGCGCGCTCCCTGCGCCCTACTTATACTCAGGTGCGCCGCACCTGTCCGCCCTCACCTCCGGACTCTCGGCGACGCCTCTGCCCGCTCCCTACAGCCTGGGGCCGAAAGGCCCAGATACACCCCGGGGATCGCGCCCACACGGCCCCTCCATTTGTTCGGGGTAGGGTCGTGCGAGCGCCTGGCCTCCGGGTACTGCTTTTGTCTGGAACCTGTCCTTCGAGTGCAGCCAGTTCCCACGGCTGCCAGGGGTGGATTTGTTTTACTTGGGGTGACAAGATTTTGCAGTCACTGGCTACAAACTTTTTTTTTTTTCTTCGTCTCAGGGTGACTTAAAATTCCAACCGGGTTGTCTTTGGTGAAGCTGTCCTTTTCGATTCTATTTGACTTGTAGGCTCGCCCTCCCAGGTTCCCATCTTTTTGGAGGGCGGAAATGGCCAATTCGGGCCTGCAATTGTTGGGCTTTTCAATGGCCTTGCTGGGCTGGGTGGGCCTGGTGGCTTGCACCGCCATCCCGCAGTGGCAGATGAGCTCGTACGCGGGCGACAACATCATCACCGCCCAGGCCATGTACAAGGGGTTGTGGATGGACTGCGTCACGCAGAGCACCGGCTTGATGAGCTGCAAGATGTTCGACTCGGTGCTCGCACTGCCGGGTAAGGCCGAGGGGCCGACGGGACGGACGCGCCCGGGTGGGGCAGGGCCGGAGCTCCTCGGCCGGGCGCCCTGTGGTTTCCAGGGAGCTGGAGAAGTGGACACACCGGGGGCCTTGGCTAGATCTGGCCTAGATTCTGGCGGCCCTGCTGTGAGTCCGCACCTGGGCCGCCCGCCGGGCCCGCTCCCTCGGCTGGAAGAGTGCAGGCCGGGCGCGCGCGCTCCTCTGCGACCCGGACCGTCTGTGGTCAGTTTTGTCTTGGACAAAAGGGCTCGGCGCGGAAGCCGTGGCCTGAGCCGCCAGACCGTGCTGTTTTGTGAGACGTGGGCCGCCACCTGCGACCTCTAATCTTATCGGCCGATTAGCCGAAGCCACAAACCCCGTGCCTTCGATAGCGGGGTGAGAGTTGGGACTCGCGACGGCCGGCGGCTGAGCCCCCGTGCCGCGCGTCCTTTCCCACGGCCCCCTTCCCCCTGCCCAGCGCGGTTTCATCGAAACCCAGGCGCCCCGGGCAGGTTCTGGGGCAGAGGGCGGGGCCGGGCCGTGCGTTGAGCGGGAAGGCCTCGGCCTAAGGCGGGGCGGGGGCCGGTGGCTGCGCCTCGGGCTTTGGCCTGGGGCAGGGGGCGGGGAGCGTTCCAGATCTGCTGGGGAACGGAGAGCTTCAATGATAGTCTCTGAACTTGGCGGGTGCAGCCTGGGGCTTGAAGGGTAGGGCCTTCCCGGGCCTCCCCGCATTTCCAGCGATGACAGGGCTCTTTCTTCTCCACAGCGGCCCTACAGGCCACTCGGGCCCTCATGGTGGTGTCCCTGGTGCTGGGTTTCCTGGCCATGTTTGTGGCCACGATGGGCATGAAGTGCACGCGTTGTGGAGGAGACGACAAAGTGAAGAAGGCCCGGATAGCCATGACTGGAGGCATCATTTTCATCGTGGCTGGTGAGCCACAGATCTAAGGTCGGCTTGAGGGTGGTAAGGTGCTGGCTTAAGACACTGGGAGTATCAGAATCCTTCTCTTTCCAGGTCTTGCCTCTTTGATAGCATGCTCCTGGTACGGTCATCAGATTATCACAGACTTCTATAACCCCTTGACCCCAATGAATGCTAAGTAAGTTTGGGACCCTTGCCTCTTAAAGACAGATCTGAGGTCCTGGGATACTGGGATAGGAAACAAGGCAGACAGGCCAGGATTCTGACTCTAACCCCTTCTCTCCACAGATATGAGTTTGGTTCTGCCATCTTTATTGGTTGGGCAGGGTCTGCTCTGGTCCTCCTAGGAGGTGCGCTGCTGTCTTGCTCCTGTCCTGGGAGTGAAAGCAAAGCTGTGTATCGGGCACCCCATTCCTACCCCAAGTCCAACTCTGCCAAAGAATATGTGTAACTTGACACCCTTATGCCCCAGTCTGATGGGCTGTGGGTGTGTCCAGATGATTCAGAAACCTAGGGCAGAGGACTCAGCCTGTGAGCAAGGTGTGAGACAAAGGCCCCCTGGCCACTCCATCCATTCATACCGTGTACAGTTCTCTGGGAAGGGGGTGGGGGGAAGAGACAAAAAGGGGAGCATGTGCTTTTTGTACAGTAATAAAAACTACATTTTAGAAAGCAGGTTTTTTTTTTCTTCTTTCGATCCTCTTGCTTTCTTTCCACATAAGTTGTGCCTACTTCAGTTCAGTGAAGCTACAGAGCACGATGGTGCCAGGCCATACAGTCCATTTTCATTGTTTAGGCTTAATACCTCACACGTCTGGCTTCCTTCATTCCCAGCCCACCACTGTTTTAAATAACTACCAAAGAGTTGCATTAAAAAAAAAAAAAAAGAGGTAGCCAGAAGCCGGTGGCTCGTGCCTATAATGCTAGCTACTCAGGAGGCTGAGATCTGAGGATCTCAGTTCAAAGCCAGCCTGGGCAGGAAAAGTCCATGAGACTCTTATTTCCAATAAACCACTGGAAAAACGGAAGTGGCGCTGTGGCTCAAGCGGTACAGTGCTCGCCTTGAGCTGAAGAGCTCAGGGACAGCGCCTAAGCCCAGAGTTCAGGCCCCATGACCGACCAAAAAAAAAAAGAGGTATATACATATATACATACATATATGTGTGGTATCTGTATCTATATATATATATATTTTAATTTGGAAGGTTACTTGCTTGCCTTACAATATACTCTCACCCATTTGCTGCCCTGATGACATGCTACTTCTTGGCACAGCAGGGCCTACATATACAAAGCAGCAAAGGTGGTACAGGGACAAGGTAAGGTCAATTCAAACAACACAAAGGTGCTTCTAAGTCCACAGTGTTTCTTCTCGTTGTCTAGTCAAATCTGGTCAGTCAAATATCTAGGTCTTCATCGGGGTCTTCTTGGTCCAGATCATCATAAACATCTGGCTCATAGAAGATGTGGCTGGAAGACTGACCTGGTCCAGGTCGCAGCAAAGCCTGCTGTCTGAGGAGGAAAGAGTTGATGCTGAGTAGGATGAGTGACAGGAGTCAAGTGTGAATTTACTTTTCCATATGACTCAGACAATCATGACTCAGACAGGCCCCTGTACCATTTTCTTGGTCCAAGTCCCTTTCTTTGACCTTCATGTTTGGTTAGAACTAAAGTTTCCCCAGACCATTTGGATTTGGGATAGTGCTTTTGTACAACTAACAAAACTTACATTCTTAGCAGCCTGAGGGCCAGGATTTGGTATCCTTGTCTCACCCACCCACAAGCAAGGAAAGGCATATACTCTGCCACTTAACCAGCGTTGCCACACCCATGTAGCTTCCTGTCCTAGCACTGCTGTAGAGGAAGAGCCACATTTCCGCAGTATAGTTTGGCTTAGCCAAGGCCCAGATTGTTATGGGGGAGAACCACAGTGGTGAGTCTAAAGCTCTAATGGAGAGATAAGACAAAACCTTCCGCCATTGTGGGAGGGTATATATGAATAGAGAGCCACTACCACTCCCTACTTGTCTCTGCAAGGTGGACTTCAGCCCCTATAAAGTCATGAAAGGTTAATCAATAATCTGTCAACACCCTATCACTCTGTGATCCAGTTGCTCAGCTCTACCCAGGAATCCAGGCATTTATGTTCCAATCTTACTTTTCAGAGCTGAATTGGAAGGGCAGAGTCAGGTTCTCTTTGGCTTCTCTTTCTTTCTTGGACAGGTGAAGGTTAAAAGTCAAGTGAGTTGTGGGATCCACCTGTAGGTACAAACATATGCTGCCACTCAGCCACATCACTGGGGTCCCTGGCCTCACCCCCAAACCTCTGCAGTTTGTATTTCCCTCTCTCTTTTTTTTTTTTTCCCTCTGTCGGTTGTGGGGCCTGAACTCTGGGCCTGGGCGCTGTCCACACTCAGCTCTTCAGCTCAAGGCTAGCGCTCTACCATTTGAACCAGTGCCACTTTTCTGGTGGTTACTTGAAGAGTCTCACACTTTCCTGCCCGAGCTGGCTTTGCACCATGATCCTCACTTCTCAGCCTCCTTAGTAGCTAGGATTATAGGTGTGAGCCATTAGCGCCCAGCTTCATTTCCTTTTTCTAGCCCCCAAACTTTTTTTGTTGTTAGAACTGGGGCTTAAACCTAGGTGCTGTCCCTTTTCTGCTCAAGGCTAGTGCTCTACCACTTGAGCACAGCTCCACTTCTGGATAATTGGAGATTATGGGTGGGTAGGTAATTGGTGATATGACTTTCCTGCTTGGGCTGGCTTTGAACCACAATCCTCCTTGGTAGCTAGGTGTGAGCCACTGATGCCAAGGCAAACATAAATACCAGAGGTACGTGGGAACTTGGCTGCTGCTGGGACTCTAGAGGTCCCTCTTGGAGATCCAGGTTGAAGTCAGGAAGGATGGAGAACCACTGAGTCTGTGTATAAGAAAAAAAGTTTCATTTATTTTTCACGTTTCAGGACCTCATAGCTCCTTTCTCCAATAATCTTAGGACTTTAAACTTTCCATTTTCTGGAAGATAGCATCTTTCCATAGTTAAGTTGGCAGGCTGAATCAAAAACAATCCTGAGTTCAAATGCTGGCTATGCCACTTGCCACTTTTAGTTTTACTATCTTGGCCAAATGGCTTCAAGTTAAACTTCTATGGACTGGTTTCACAGTCTGCAAAATGGGGATATAATGTACTCACAGTGAAAATAAAAGGAGGTAAATGATAGAAAACATAAGAGGACCTGGCTCAGGTGTATAGTATATACTCAGCACACATACATGGCCCAAGGCCCTGGGTTCTATCCCATGCATACTAAGCCATCAGCTTTCTCACGGCACTTTCCATTATGACACCTCTTTCTGACCCAAATCTCTAGTCTTCCCTGTTGCTTCTGTTGACCTGATAAGCTGGGCGTTGTTGGGGCCTTCGATAGAGGATGTGAACTGAAGCCTGGCCCATTTTACCATCCATGGTCACCTCTGTTTGAGCAAGGCTGCTCAGTGCTCCCAAGGGGCCTTGCCCATGAAGCTCTTCATGCAGCAGGCCCAACACACGCACCTGCCCTACAGGGGGGTTAACACCTAGAAGGGGACAAAAAAAAAAAAAAAAAAAAAGTAGGGCATGAAGGATAGTGGGGAGCATTCAGGATAGGCATAGAAATAGGGAAGAAAAAGGAAGGAGAGGTGCACATTCTATCAACTCGGCCCCAACCTCAATTTACCTTGACCAATCTTAATGCCCTGCCCTGAGTTTGTTTGTTTGTTTATTTATTTATTTATTGGGTCCAGTTGTGGGGTCTGAACTCTGGGCCTGGGCGATATCCCTCAGCTCTTCAGCTCAAGGCTAGTGCTCTACCACTTGAGCCACAACGCCACTTCCGGCTTTTTTCTTTTTGCTTATGTGGTGCTGAGGAATCAAACCCAGGGCCTCAGGCATGCAAGGCAAGCGCTCTACCACTGAGCCAACTTCCCAGCCCCTGAGTTTATTTTTTTCCCTCGGACTGATCCTGGGGCATGAACTCTGGGCTTGAGTGCTGTCCTTGAACTAGTACTCTACCACTTGAGCCACGGCACCACTTCCAGCTTTTTCTGTGCCTAATTAGAGCTAAGAGACTCACAGACTTTCCTGCCCTGGTTGGCATCCAACTGCAATCGTTAGATCTCAGCCTTCTGAATAACTGGGATTACAGGCATGAGTCACTAGTGCTTGCTAATGTTTGTCTTCTTTTTGGTCAGTCATGGGGCCTGAACTCAGAGCCTGGGTACTGTCCCTGAGCTGTTTTGCTCAAAGCTAGTGTTCAACCACTTTCAATCACAACACTGCTTCCAAGTCCACACTTTTAATAAACCTTACTCTAGTGCAATCTGACCAGGGCACAACTCTGACTTCGACTTTTCAGCATGGAATTTAATCACTGGCATCCATTAACTCCAGCCATTTGTGTGTGGGGTGTGTGTGTGTGTGTGTGTGTTGGTACTGGGGCTAGAACTCAGGGCTTAGGCATTGTTCCTTTGCCTTTTCTACTCAAGGCTAGCAATCTATTACTTGAGCCACAGCTCCAGTTGGCTTCTGGTGGTTAATCCCATGCACTTTCCTGCCCAGGCTGACTTCAAACTGTGATCTCAGATCTTAGCCTTCTGAGTAGCTAGGATTGATTACAGGTGTGTGCTTCCACTGCCCCAATCCAGTTCATCTCTTAATGAACTATTTGCAATTTTTGGAACGTATCAAGATCTCAGTTGTGTTTCTCTTCTCCTTTTGGAAGCATTAACAGTACTAAACACTATCACTTTAATCCTCACAAAGTCAGCTCATATCATGTGGCAATTTCAAGGAGTTTAATTCTAATGCTACCTATCACAGGCCCCACTGTTGCCTCTGCTTCCTAAAAGTGAGGATTACACTCATGCCAACTTTTTTGTCAGCCGTGGGGCTTGAACTCTGGACCTGGCACTGTCCTTCAGCTCAAGGCTAGTGCACTACCACTTTGAGCCATAGTACCACTTCTCGTTTTGTGAGTGGTTTATTGGAGATAAGAGTCTCATGGACTTTCCTGCCTGGGCTGGCTTTGAACTGTGATCCTTAGATCTCAGCCTCCTGACTAGCTAGGATTACAGGCATGAGACACCGACACCTGGCTCATGCCAACTCTTTTTTTTGGGTCCGGTCGGGGGCCTGAACTCTGGGCCTGGGTGCTGTCCCTCAGCTCTTCAGCTCAAGGCTAGCGCTCTACCACTTGAGCCACAGCGCCACTTCCAGCTTTTTTCTTTTTGCTTATGTGGTGCTGAGGAATCGAACCCAGGGCCTCGAGCATGCAAGGCAAGCGCTCTACCACTGAGCCACCTTCCCAGCCCATCATGCCAACTCTTTATATGCCCCGCTTTATACCCTTTACAGGGAAAAGTAAAGCACTGAGAAATCAAGTACTTCAACATATGGCTGGTTGTGTCTGACCCCAGGTGTATGCTAGTATCACAGTGCGCTTCAGGGCTAGTGCCAAATCTGCCTGGCTGATCTCTTGCTCTTCAGGATATTCAAGGTAATTCCTTTCTTCAGGTGCCTGGTGGACATCCTTTTATCATCACAGTCCCTAAGACACCTCAGCCCTATCAGATTATCTTGTAACTGCGTTTATTTCTCCATGTCCTTTTTGAGACTCTGAGCTCCAGGAAGAC